AAAAATCGGCAAAAGTCGATTGGAATGCTGCTCAATTGGGTGTGGGTGAAGCGATGTGATGAACTACACCTACGTCCACCCCACTATTTAGAGTCTGGCTTTGTCGTGCGTCGGGAGCATATTAGTTTGAGCTTATTTTACACAAATCCGTCGGACAGGGTGTAGGTGTAACTGGATGCGCATACGGGTGTGAACACACATACGCACAACTAGACTTACCCACAACCCACCCTTAATAATTGTGGTTGACGAAAAACTGAAAATCTAAGAAAAGCAATCGAACATAGAAAATGAATTGAAATAAGTCAGCATCACGTGTTATTTTATCGCAGAGTTCATGTTCGATAAAAGGTATTCATTTTTGGACAGAAGGAGCATTTTATGTATCAATTCTTAAACGTTTTGCCCCTTTTGTGTAAAACTGTGAACCGATATCGACATCACAATAGGATTGTTCGCAGGCATCAGATAAATTCTGATGTTGCAATTTTTTTGCACATCGAACTATTTGTTTTTCGATTATATCCGGAAAAAAATCATCTTATGAAAGCAATTTTTGTGCAATATGTCTTGCTTTCTGAAAGTACATTACTGCATTCATATAATTTATTCGTTTGGCATAAATTTCACAAAATAATCCCATAATAAATCTATTGGTTATTAATGGATTGTCCACGTTTAGCAATGCAAGTTCCAGTTCAGGATCTTTTTTAAATGATTCTTCAAAATCGTACTTTTCTTCGTTAAGAGATTTTATAAAATCAAATAGATATATAATCTTTAATTCTAAAGATTTATCTTTTGCCAATAAAAGGATTTTTAAAGCTTTATGATAGTTGACCCATGCTGCAGTGTACTGTTGCATATCTCTATAAGCTTGTGCTATTCTCTGATATGTAGTAGCTAATGGTTGTGAAAATACATCACGATATTCCAGTTGTATTTCCAAAAGTCGATTGTAATACTTAATTCCATTTTCGTAATCACCAGCTTCGATAGAGGTCAAACCAAGATGATCTAACAATTTTTCGATCGCAATGTAATTATGAAGAATGCCAACCGTGATTGTGTGAATATGCAAGGCTTCATTATAATATTTCAACGCTTTTTGATAATTTTGATCTTGTCGGTGTAAATGTCCCATATCAGTTAAGATTGTTACTACTATGTCGTGATCCGATGGTAGAAGATCTAAGGCCATTTCAAAATAAATTAATGATTCACAATAGTCTTCTGCTTCATAAAAAATAAGTCCAAGTATATTGTAAATGATACCAATATCAACGTCATCAACTTTTCCTTGTGCTATATCAAGCGCATGGCAACAGCGGGCTACTGCTTCGTCTAAATCCAATTTCTCGTAGCATAAATAACCGTAGAAATAAAACAGAAAATACAACTCTGGATGTACGAACGAACAGAATACCTGATGATAAATTTCGATTGCTAATTTAAAATATTTCAGTGCATCTGAAAAATAAGCTTTGCGGCATAGCTGTAAACCGAAAACCATATACATTTTTCCTACGGCTGGATCTGGTATGATTGATCTATCAATTATGTCTGAATTCGTTTCGAGAAACTCTTGTGCTTTTGCATGCAGTATTAGTATATGTTTATACTCATATGTTGAATTAGGAGGATAAACCCCGTTTCTGTCATACAATCTAGTTTGATAAGGTTCATAGTCACTAATCAAACGTGTTAGGCTTCCTACATAGAATTGCTCAGCAACTTCTAGCATTTCATCGTTTAAGAGCTCATTTGTATATAGAGGATTAAAAGGTAGCTCATCAAACAGTATCTTATAGTATTGCTTTGCTTTCTGAGTTTCATCCATCGCTTCTAAACAAAGACCAAACATTAATCCATCATCAACGGAAAATGATCTCATTCTCAAATGATTCAGTATATTTTTCACGTGTGTATTATTATGGTTTGTCAGTGTTAAGTTAATCAACCATAATTCATCATTGAATATTTCCACCGAATCAATTGTAAATACTGTTCCAAGTGATAATAAAATTTCGTTTTCATCTTCCATAGAGCTTAAGTGACTAATATTGGCGTATGGCTTTACGTTTGTTAATGTTAAGTCAATCGTAATATGAAGAAGAACAGATTCATACTGTGGTCGCTGACAACCATTTCCTGAAAAATCAATCGCAATTGAACGAATTGTTGTTGTTGACAGAAATGTGTTAATAGATATAAATTCACCAATATTATTCTTTATTAATTGTAATTCATCAGCTGACATAAGCTGACCACGGTAAACATTTAACGATGTTTCACCTGCTATTAACATATTGTTAATGAATTCAGAATGAAGTTCGTTTAATTGCTTAGACAAATCAATAATAAAAAAAACGAAATTTAAATATTGTATCAATATCTTTTGTACGAAATGCTTTATTGATTAAACGATAAACAAATGCATCACGTGTATACCAATTTATTGCTGATTCCAACGTATATGTTGACGTAAATTTAGCAATTTTTTTCTGTTCAACTTCATTATTTGCATAGTACAGATAACATTCATGCAACATGTCATGCTTAGATTTTCGTTGTCGTTTCAAAACATTTAATGTGTCATTTAATACTTGAAACCATAAAAACTTGTATGTTTGGTTTTTTAAATTCGAAAATGTTTGCTCCGGATATTTTACACTGAAAATACTCATTGACATTGGACCATGGCTAATTAAAAGACGAAGGTCTGACATAAGCTTAGGCATGAGTTAATGTTGATCACTAAAAATCCCACGAACTTTTGTAAAGGATGCACTATTACTTGTAATAGTGTCGTTTTGATAGTGCCGGTCATGTTCATCTTCAGGGTCACAGAATAAATAAACGAATATAACATTTGTTAGTTGTGTACTAATAATATCAAACAATGAACACCGCACAATCAGAAAGACCTTTTTCGTTGTAATAGTTTGAAGATACTGAAAATAATTATTGATATCGTGAAATTCTTCGAAATTTGTGACAAGAGGTTCCAGTTGCCGATAGTAAGTATCACGTAAGAGAACAGTTGTAGGACTTAAGAAGATAACATTGACATCTTCAAAATTATATTCTTCAGTTAGTTGTATTGATTCGTCTCTTCTGATTATTTCTGTCATAATACTTCTGCGAGACATGATCTGAAAGGAGTATTGAAGTATACAGGGTAGAAAGTTGAACTCTCCCCTTCCTCACAAAATCGTGATAGATATATTAGCGACTCGTCACAGACTGTGACAGACAACACAGACTATGATATAAGTTGTTAATATACGATCACAGATCCTATATCAATAACGACTTGTTATAGTATACTAATTACTTATTGCATTTCTGAAGGACTAAGTAGAAGAAGAATGAAGACCACAGCAACTGCATCGTGTTTCACATTTTAATTCCGCAGGGATTGGACTAAAAGCATTTTATTTAAAATCTAAAAGTGTTTAAAGAGGATGTGGGTGTGAGTGTTGAAAGGGATACAGAAAAAACATCCTGCTTGACACCCACATCTCCTTTTGACCTCAAGTTTTGCCTATAGGTAAGTCTAGCGATCAGTAGAATATTCTGAAGCATTCAGAGAAAATGAATTTGTCTTTCTCGAGGCATCAAATTCGGCAAAAAAAATATCCGCCAGTCAGAGAAATGATACGAGGATCAAGTTTACATAGTGGCCGACATTTCGAGAAACATAGTTGTTTTTAATTGAAAATTTCAGAAAATTTCAATTACTTGTAGATCTCCCAATAAACAAAACCATAAGTCAAAAACTTTCATTTCCACTTTCTTTTGAAAATATCTTTCTAGGAATCAAAACTTGAATAGTACTATCATAGTTCTTCATCGATAAACTCGATTTATTTTAAAGTTTTTGAAAACTAATCGAAACCTACTTGTAGCCAAAAAATGAAGTCGAATGAGGTTCCACGGTGAGCGACGTTCTGTTGTAAATTTATATAGGCTGATAGATCAACTTAAGAGGGAAAATAAAAGCTAAACTAAAAAGTATTTCTTGTGATTTTGATCAGTACTATAAGCAGTCATTTTTTGGTAAGTTACATTTTGTTTGATGCTTTTCATTTCGGTAGACGGAGAAAGAAAATGAAATTACCTGTTATGCACATTGTTTCTTTTTCTTCCAAATTGTTACTACTGGAAGGCAATCTTATTCTAAAGCATGTCGACAATGAATGCGAACAGAACAGAAGAAAGATTCGATTTTGAAATATTCACGTGGAAGATTTGTCAAGAAGCAAGTTAAATTTGGTAAATTTTTTATATTTTATATCTCTACCAACAATTACTATTTTTGTTTCAGCTATACATCGTCTAATATTTTGTCATATGACTTGCCACTACACGAATATGTAACAAGAACAGAGCTTTCCCAAAACATCCTTCTGCCGATTTGAAACTTCTCTGAAGTACATAATTTCAGCCAAACAAGTGAATTTTCCAAACAACAACTGATAATCATAAAATGTCGAATTCGGAGCAAGAAAATTTTTCTCAAGCCATAGAAGAGCAAAATATACAATTTAATACAAAAACTGCTAACAAAAGGGGTAAATGCGAATGCTTGAAGTCGGCGTGGTACAGCATTGTATCGTTCTGTTAAGTTAAACAATTTTCAAATTTCAAAATTACTAGTGAACAATGGCGCAGATTGTAACGTTGTACAGTTAGATTTCGACCATCAAGAAAAATATTTGCTTGATGGTTCACCTCACACATATTTTGTTTCTACTCCCATCGATTTATTATGCATTGACAATGTAGTAAATGATGATAAAATTCTTGCATATCTATTAAAAAAACGGCCTAAGATTAGTGAAAATATGGTTTAAGAGCAAATTCTCTACTGTACAAAAATGTTTAACGATAAACATGATGAAATGTTATTTGACTACTTTGCAAGTTATTTCTTAAGAAAAACATATGTACGATCATTTGTGTCATATGAGTAATAATGCTTTACTTAAGATTGCAGTAGGTACTTTCAATATCGATGCAAGTTCACAAAATTCTAAGTTGACAGATGGCGGTACTCATGAAGCATTTTTTACAGTGATGATACGCAGTTTATTGGAAGAATTAGTTCGTTTCAATTTACACAAAGGTTCTCATATCAGATCTGAACAATATGAACATGTTTTACGTGAACTTCTTCATAATTTAGAAGCGTATCACTTACTTACGGATGTATGTTCGATTTCTCATGAAAAAAAATCACTTATTCTACTCGTTAATAGTTAAAAATATTACAAATAAATTGAAATCTATGAAAAACAAAGAGAAATATACCTTATCCGCAAAATGTTATGGATATGCTGCGTGTGTTAATTTTGTATGCGAAGCTACTAGTATTGTTATACGGATTGATAATCTCAACATTGGAGAAGCACAGAACATACAGAAATACAGATATAATCTTTGGGTTATTATTCCAAAAATTATCGGAGAAATCCCATTAAAAGATCTTGGTGATAATAAGCATTATTTCATTTCATTAACAAATTGCGTAAAAGAAGCACTAGATCGAAGGAAAGGAATTAACAGATTATATCATAATCCCGAATTAAAATATTTAGATATAACTCGAGTATCAATTATGACTGATCAATTGGAACACCAATTGAGAAGACTCAATTGTTTCATACAACAAACCGAAAATAATTGTATTATCAAATCCCATGAAGCTGGATTTGTAATACGATCTAATGATTACGACATTTTCCAACAAATCATAGCTTTTCAGCACATCTATGCAGCACAATTATCAACGAAAGATATTATAAAGAAACGGAACGAACCTGCGCAAGCTTTATACAAATATTGGAGAAAAGAGACGTCCATAACTGGTGCAAATTCTTCGCAATCAATCACAATCTTAAAATATTTAGCGAAAAGTGAGTTTCTAAAAGGTTTGGACAGGGGGTGATAAACGGCTATTTCTGATTTTGTAGAGTTGTTAGATATATTTTACAAGAGAAGTTCCTAAGTATGTTCAAGAGATTTCTACTCTAAGTAGATGGGTTTGTCAAGTTAGGTGTTGTAACCTCAAATCTGAAAAGACAAAAGGCTAAAATTGCTTCGGTGAATAAGTACAAGTGGAACATTTTCTTTAACGGCTTATGATCGCATAGTAAATGTGTCTCGTCTGAGATCTTGTTCTCAGCAATGTCGAAAGTCGAAAAAATGTCCACTTTACCTAAAATCCGCTAAGAATATATAGGACTTTGCACACCTAATGAAATATTGCGTCTACCAGTAGTTATAGAAAAAGCAAAATATAAGTTCTCCAGCAGCAGATATTTCTTTCTTCCAGCGAACTTTTCTGTTCTGTGAAGAATTTTTCTTTTCATGTAAATTGATTCATTCAGATAAATATAAGAGAGATCTGAATAAATTTAAAGCAAATGGATAAACCCATTATATATATATGAGAGATAAACTGATATTCCTTTTTTATTAGCGAACTCTTCTGTTCTTTTGAAAATGTTTTTCTCTTGGGTGTGGGTCTGCGGTTCACTGAAGTGGGATCATTTTTGCTCAGTGACACAAAATTTTTTTTTCATACGAATAATCAAAATAAATTCTACTACTATTTCTGACCTCATTAAGAATATTTGAGCTGTTCTCAAATAAGAAACAATTATGTCCATCAATCAAAGATAATTTTCATTCGTCACCTAAGAGAATAAAAACAAACTTTCTAGATTGTCAAGTTCGTTGCAAAAAAAACGAGCGTTCCATTATTAAAAATTCGAAATATTGCAACTGCTGTTTCAAGATCGAACACAACTTTATTCATGGATTAGTTCAAGTAAAACATATATCGCAGAAATAAGAGAAAAATCTTCAGTTTGGGACTCATCAACAGCTATTTCAACACCAGCTACATCATTTGTTCTTTTTTTAAATTTATTTTGTTTTAGAATGTTTTTATCAAAATCAGCCGAATGAATTGCTTTATCGGATTTAGAAAAAAAGAATTTTTATTGTCAAGACCTGAGTTTTCTCTTGAACCATATCAAAGATTTGAAAAAAATATTATTCATTTATCAGAAAAACAAACAAAAGATTTCGATAAATATTTATAAGATACCACGCTTTTCGGTAAGACATTTATTTGACACTGTATTCGATATATCATTATACAAAAGTTAATTTATATAATATCAATATTATCGAATATTTCGTCTTTTTCAAATCTCGTTCTTGTATTCATGAATAATATGTGAGATCTTGAAACAGCAGTTGCAATATTTCGAAT